CCTCTGACATAATCTGATTTGCCTGCTTTTTGATCACCTCCCCCTGAGGGGGGAGTATCCTTACCAGGCCACAGAAGATGACAATGCAGCCACTCCTGACGTGATCTGATAGACTAAGATCAGAAGGAAGGAGAAGAGGACCTTCCCTATCAGTGGACTTGGGGAAAGCCATTCTTGAAGAAGAGGGAGGGAGTATGGAATCGGGAGGGGAGGAGAGAGGGGCTTATGGGGGAGTACAAAGTGAATAAATAATAAATAAATATAAATAGATAATAACAAAGTGTAATTAATAATAAAAAAGATAACAGCTAACATTTCTGTCTCATGTTTAAAGGGACAAAAACAGTCTCCTGTGGGTCACTGTCATGATTTACATGAGGTTCTCACTGCAGATCTCAGAGAAACATATACCTGTCTCAGGCAAGCAGAAAAATAAAATATAACATTTTGAAAGAAAAACAAAAACAAAAGAAAAGAATTTAAGGGTCAATTCACATTGAAGGAAATAATTTGGGAATTTTGCAGAGAGGAAGCCTTGTTAGGTCAAATATATGATTTCTCTTACCATTCTGTCCTTTTTCTTTTTTTTTAAGTTAATTGGATAACTTAACTTTATAAAGGCCCCATAATGGACCATGGACTGATTATTTTAAGCTAAAACTACAGAAAGATACTTCAAGTCACTGGGGACATGGTAACCATAGTAAAAGTCTAGATGAAGTCACAACTTTAGGAGAAATTGAGGTCTCTGAGTGATTTAAATTGTATTGTAAATATTTATAGATCTTTGCAAAATAAAAAGAAATAGCAAGTGGAGGGCTGACATTCAGAAACTGAGGAAAGAAAGAATAGGCATCGATTACCATAGCCTCGATACACATAGAGAAATACAGATGGAGATATCAGTGAATTCAAAAGACCATCTCACAACAGTATGACTTGGGTCATGATGTTCTTTGGAAGGACCATTAGAGGAATGGGATGCTGGACAACAGAACAGGAGCAAGAATGGATGCCGTCAGTTCATGCTCTCCGATTCCAGTTTGCCTTGCTTTGAGTTGTTTTCTGTCACATAGAAGTCTGTTTGTCTTTTTCTCCATAAAAATCATGCCTCCGCTTAGACTTGGACAACATACTAAATTCTGAGTAATTCAACATACCCATCTTGAACATCTGAAATGAGAACAAATGTGTAGCAAATGGGCATTGAGTATGAAGAATTATTTTGAATGTGATATCAAATATATGTTTCTATAGCTAACTGTAGCTATGTATGATCTATCTAAGTTTTATGTTCAATATGTTACGTATCAGATGAAAACAATCATTTTTCGGGGTATAAAAGTTTGGGTAGAGTGAAGTTAACTTATTTTGACTGTGTAAACTGTCAGTAGATTCTTCAAGCTGGAATCGAGTTTGTTTGGGAAGGACGCTGCAGGCAGTGGTAAACACGCAAATTGAGCTACTGAAATAGTAAAGTAGTGCTTATAGATCAGTGAAAGTTTCTGCACTATGAGGCTTTGAAATGTAATGTGCGGGCTGCTGGGATCAGTCAGTGGGTAAAGGCAACTGAAGCCAAGCCTGGCTAGATCAGTTCTCTCCCAGAACCTACATAGTTAGGCAGAGAACCAACTCCTATATGTTGTCCTATGATCCTTGACCTCCACATGCTTGCAGGTGGACAGGAATGTACACACACATACACACAATAAATAAGTGAACAAACAAGCAAACAACTTAATAAAAATGTGCACATAGTAGGAACAATGGAATGGAAAGACCCATCATTTGTGCTCAAATACTCCAGTTCCAAGATTGTGTTCTATAAATTCTATTTGCCCAAGCTTTACATTTAAATATAAGGTTATAGGACTTGAATGTTTAAAAGCAATGGTATCAGTACGTTAGAAATCCATTATAAAGAAACAGATGGGCATCTGAAATGTGAAATCAGGACATAAATTTGAATTTGAAGAAAATTAACAAGACATCATTAAAGTGAAACTTTCTGGTTTCTTTGTAGACTCAGTTGTGTCATGTGAACGTGTTTTTTGTTTTGGTTCCAAGTGTGGGATGTGGGAGTGTTTTTCCATTGCATTAGACAGACTCGTGATCTTTGTTAGCTAAAATTAGGCTCTTGAGAGGGCAGGTAATGTTTTTCTGGAAGCTGTCTCATGAGAGGTGCATGGTTTTTTTCCCGATGAAAAACATCCTTGTGTGAACTCTGAGAAGAGAGAAACAGAAGCCCACAGGCATCAAGACAATGCTTTCACGTTGCTATCCTTTGCAACAGTTCACCTCGATTCACTGGCCTTCGTTTTTCTACACTTCACTTCGCAGAGAGAAATGCTCCAGAGAACTTCTCCTGACACTCCCTAGGAGTCTTGCTGCTTTTGCTAATTCTTGGCGATTCAGAGGAGTCTTGCTCTTTCTGCAGAACAGTGCTGCTGCTGTGGCTACTTCAGATTATTGCTGCTGTTTGGTGTTTCCTACTTGTCTGGACTGCTGGCATCTGGAAGAGGAGTGGAATTGTCCCAAGGAACTGCGTCCTAAAAGGTCCACAAGGTCCACAGGCTGCTTTTGCTAATAACCTTCTTTCTCCCCTGCATATGCTCAGTGAGTTGTAAGGGAAGTAAAAGCATTAAAGAACCTTAAATAAAGTAGCTTTTTGAAAAATCTAAGCCTACATAGCATTGGTGTTCTATGGGGGAAAAGGGCCAGCTAGGTACTTGATACAAAGGCTGCGACTAGGACTCAAAGTGGACAGCAAGGTCTTCAGATCTCAGTAGGTTATACCCAGGAAAGAGCAACAAATACAGGAAGCCAGAGGCTAGTTACCTGAAAGCAGGCGTGGCTCCAAGCATGAAGTTCCCAGCACTCCTGATTGAAGGATATACAGATGGTAATAACTTAGACATGCACATGATCCACTCGCATGAGCCACAAGGCGCCTTCAATGTCCATCTCAGGATCACAGTGTATGTCTAGGCACCCATAGCTGTTGGATGAAATAGGAAAGAATGGAATTAGGAAATCATAAACCCATAAACCTTAAAATTGAAATCAAATGCTAGCTTTCTGATAGAAAGAAAGTTTAATTAGAATTTATTTCTGATGGCAAGAAGATTTAATTACAAATTACTTGAAGATTAGTTTTATATCTGAATGTTTCTATAGCATCAACAAAATTTTATAACATCAAGTTTAAGAAACACAAAAACAAATCACCAATATTTCATAAAACTGGAGTAGACATTCCTAGAGGAGAGAGGAAAAATCAAGGTATGCCTTCTCTTTGTTTCAGCATTGGCTACGTTCAGTGTTTGACTTATTATGACCCTCAGACTCAGAATCAATAAGGCAATGTTACTGAAGTGGGGTTTTTCAGGCACCAACCCATACCTAATGAATCAAGATTTCTGGAGAAGGGTCAAAGTTTCCTTCTTTGAAATTAGCTTCCTTCATAAGTTTGAAACTCACTGGACGGAGTTTCATTGGCACTGCTCTTAGCACACCCAAAATAGTACCTTCAGGCATCACTTGAAACCCACAGGGCAGTTGAACCTGAATCAAAGAACTGCCGCAGGCTGTCTTCATGCACATGAATGTCCTCATGAATCAATTCTCTTACCTCCCTGAATACATCTCCTTATTCTCAATTTCTCTCTTTGTCTAGTTTTGTTTTAATTTGTTAACTAAGATTTCTGCACTTGCCTTCCTTCTTCTGTGGCAACTTCTATACCTCAGTCCTAGGACAGCAACAGAAGAAAAAGTGAATTGTGGGTGACATCAATGCCTGAGAGCAGCCCTTTCCACCAGTCCGTGTCTTTTTAGTGTTTCCTCTGTTGCTTTGTAGATCGTTTTATAAATAATAATAATAATAATAATAATAATAATAATAAAACATTTTATTGTTTTTTATTGGTTTCCATCACTCTCATTTCCCATTTTCCGTGTACCTGCCCACCACGCATGCAACCTCCCCCCTTCAACAGAGAAATAAAATACCTTATTGCGGAAGCTGAAGTTGTGTCATGGTATGTCCTACGTTTTTGTCCATAATTCTTTGCTCACAAAAATTCATTGCAATGAATCATTGGTCTGGTGTGAGGCCTCTGGCTTCTGCTACTCCATCAATACAGGAACCTCACTGGGACTCTTCTCAAATACCCTGTCATGGAGATTCTGTAGTTTTGGATCTGTAGGAGCCATGCCTTCTTGCACTCCATCAGTTTTTCTATTGAGTAGATGTTGGGGTGGAAAAATTTAAAGCCCTGTATCTGGACCTGAGCTGGTCAGCCCACCAGCTCTTTCCCTCTCAGACCCTCATTGATGTTTCACAAGCAGTCATTGCAACCATGGCCAGCTCTACCTTGCTGTGTAGGTAAGGTTTAGGACCCACACTCCTGAATGTTGCAGCTACTCTGCAACTGTGAGGGACAGGGACAGTTCTTCCATTCTCATTGCTCCAGGGCCAGTTCTCCATCATCCATAGGTGGCAAGGAATTAGGGAATGGAGGAAGGCATATTTGCCTTCTAGGAACAAGAGACTGCACAGCAGACAAGATGCAGGGCTTGGTCTGCATTCCCTCATGGCAGGCTCAACTGTAACCCCCAAGATCAGGGACAGCCTTAATGTGCTGCCCAGCCAAGGTGCAGATTTCCCAAGTGCTGCAGCAGGAGAGGTTCAGGGCCAGTGTTTTCTTGCTCTTATCCTCAGGACCTGCTGCAGGCCCCAGGGTAGCATCATTAGCTATTCACTTCGGGCTATTGCCACTACCCTCAAGTCTCTAGCTCTACTTCTCTTCATTGTGAGCACATCCTTCTTTCTGTCGTGGTCATCTGTTTCTCCACCACTTACTTGCTCCTCTCAATGATACCCAGAGTCTGTCATCCCAGGTAGGGTTCTTTTAGTCTCTGTATCACTCCCCACTTTACATGCCCTTCTAGTCCTGCACACGCTAGACTGCTAGTCATCTCAGGCTTGCTTTATTTCAGGAAATTTTTAGCTACATGCACATGTTCGAAGGTCAGAACACTTAGCATAGACATAGCTGCTCTCCTCTCTGCCATCTGCTGAGGCACATTTGCCTATGCAGCCATATCTGAAATGCCTCTTGGGATAGGGGAAGTCAGCTTTTCAGATCTGAAAAAAAAATAAATATTGTTGCTAATCTGAAAGTAATATAGTGTGGCTAAGTGTTAAAGCACCTGGCTAAAATGAGATCACAGATTACTAAGAATGTGAAATAGAATGATATTGTAGAAAGAGTAGACATCTAGGTTTATTGATGATGGCACAGAACATAAACATTTTCCTGAATGGACTTAGGAATTTTTAATGATACAATTAGTTTCTCAAATTTGACATTTTTTAAAACTTGGGGGTGAGACATTCTTTCTGATGGGTGTTCTAGTTATCAAAGACACAGTGACAAGTAAATCTGTATACATGCCCAATGAGTTGGGTGCAAAATGGCAACAGTAAAGAAACACTGGATCCATACAGCTCTCCACAGATTTTTTTTTTTTGAAATACTGATGGAATATATACATCACAACATACCAAATAAAAGATTTATTTCTAAGACACACAACAATTTGCTCATGTTCCAAACAAGCTACTGGGCTAATTATTTCACCGAGATGGTAAAGCACCTACAATACAAAATAAGGAACTGAATTTGGATCCTTAGAACCCACATAAAAATCTGGATGCACTGTTACATGTCTTCAACCTCAGAACTGGGGACCTGGGGATGAGAGTAATATCCTTGCAGATCATTGAGGAGCCAAACAAGACTACTTTGTGAGTTTTGGTTTCAAGAAAAGAAAGTGTCTTAAAAAGAAAAGTAGATTATCTTCTTTAGGTGTGTAGATTTCATTATGTTTATCATATCTTGTAGGTCTATATAAGCGAGTATATACCAAGTTTGTCTTTCTCCTTCTGGGATACTTCACTCAGAATGATCTTTTCTAGATCCAGGGAGGGAGTGTGGGGTTGGGGAGGGAATGAGGGAGTGAGGGAGCAGGATACAGCTGGGACACAGAGTTAACAAAATGTAACTAAAAAGAAAAAAATAATAAATATATTTCAGAAAAAAAAAGAAAGAAAAGTAGAGAAAGATCAATGAAACGGATGCAAGGTTTACCTCTGACCTCCACATACAAACACACAGAACATGTGCCTATGCCCCCACATGTACATAAGCACACCTATACACATATACACAAGCACATGTACATATACTTACACTAACAGCTAAATATATAGTACACCAAAAACATGAACACACGCACACACACACACACACACACACACACACACACACACACACACTGATTGTATTACTGGTCGAACTACTTAGCATTTATAAAATATTCCTGGTAATACCATGATACCTTTTGAAACCAAAATGGATGAGTCTCACAAAGTTGAATGTAAGCCCATTGAGACCTTGAGCTAATCCAAGTGTGAAAGCAGGCTTTGGGGGATGCGTCTTCTCTCATCTGAGGAAGATGCATTTTATCAAATAGTTTATGCTTTCATAAATGTGTGCCCTTCAGAATTAATCACTACTCTGCTTTTATAGTGCAGCAATAACAGAAAATTTTAAATAAATATCCCTTCTGAACTTAGAAGCATTTCTGTCACATTTCTCAGTAAAACAAATGGTAGAAATCTACACTTTTAAACTTCTCATTTTAAAATATTTCAGCCCAAATTGCAAGTCTGATAGAATGAAAGAAAAACCCTATAAGGAGATAGTTTTTTTTCAAGATTCAGAATATTTTCATTTCCTCCCGCTTATATTTATGAACTGCTCTCTCCTTCTAAAGCATTAAGAAGCCTTAAGATTCCTCTCATTTCCTCACTTCTTCCCCTTCTTCCTCTTTATCTTTTTATTTCTATTTCTTCTTCCCCAATTACAGGCACAAGCATGCACGTGCAAAAACATGCACGAATTATGCACACATGTACCTGTACACACATTATTTTTAGCCAATTCTGAGGGAATAAAGAAATGAAGAGATATGCTTTCTTTCTGGTAAGGCTGTCGTCCTGAAGGGAGAATACAGCCTCAACTCTGCTTGCCATCAAACCATGTCCATGACCCTGCGGTGTCCTCTCCCAGCTGACATCTGAGAAGCTGCCATATGACAGCTCAGTTTCCTCATCTATAATGCATAGATTTGAGTGTCTCCTTTGAAACACAGTTGTGAATGTTGAATGAAAAGGGCAATATTTACACTGGATGAAACATATTTGATATTTTCAAAGGTTAATATCTTTCCACCTCTCCTTTTGTCCTTAGTCTCTGAATTTAGAGAAGACTGGGCAACTTGCCTGTTGTTTCTTTGAGTGAGTGAAGAGAGAAGCTTTAACACAGCTCTGGCTCTTTCTTCCACATACACAGAAGAGCTGTACTGCTCTAATATAGGGAAGTTTATACAACAGAGAAAATCCATAACGCTACAGAATGGCCTTTCCATTGGAGAAAATTACCTCAGTTTGTGCCTAGTCAGCAGTTCCCGACACTGCTTCCCCAGCACTAAGGGCTGTGACAGATTTTCCTGTTGGTGCACATTGCTGGACAACTTGATCCTACAAGCCATGAGCCACAGGTAGAGTGTCGGAAAAATAAGGCTCAAGAACACCTTGAACAGCATCTAGAATTCATTTCATCATTTTTCCTGTTATTGGTTGTAGATAAATGTGAGAAATACAATTGGGTCAGTAGATAGTTTACCACTATGGTGTTTTGCTTAGTCTGCATTTCTACTTTCTTGACAAAGTCTTGGATGCTAAGTGTATTCTCATTTACTGTACACTGCCCTGCACTGCAGGACAGCAGACATATTTTGGAGGGATGAAATATTTACAAGAAGATTATCAGAGAGCACAATAGTGAAATTTCAGCTACTATCAGAGGTAGGGAACTCCTACAGGATATTCAAAGGTACTTAATTAGGATTCATTTGAATATGGATATATATGTAGTTTCATCATTTAGTCAGTAACATGCTAATCCAATGTTTGCGTAATTATTAAAGATCAATTATATATATATATATATATATATATATATATGTGAAAACTTTAGGGCATGCTAAGATTGATGTTATCATAAGAGATATAGTCTTCTGAGTGTTTGATCTTATGATATTAAGTTCAATACTTAATATTCAGCACAATATTATAAAAGTCTGTCAGAAGATCAAAGTTCTTCTAGCCCAATATTACTCATTTGTAAACAAATAAGCATATCATCGTGTGAAATTGACATATATTTATCATTTCATTACATTGTAGTGAGGGAAGTGTCTACCCAAAAAATGCAATAATGGAAAGAAAAATTAGGTGATGTGAATAAAGAATTCTCTGAGTTGCCTCCATTTGACATTCCTGAAACTTATAATAGATTCTTCCTTGCACAAGTTTTTCATCTGGAAGAAAAGTTTATACAACAGAGGAAATTGTTGAGAGATGTCATTGTTTAAGAGATGACCTTATATCCTTTTAAAGATTTATCTATTTTTTATTCACTTTACATCCTGGTTTTAGCCCCATCCCTCCACCTCTCCCAGTTGCACCATCCATCTCCTCCCAGCTTTGCCTATTCCTTTTGATGATGATCCTCCTGTCGTTTCTGCTGCTGATGCCTCTGCTGCTAGGTGCTACAGCTAGTGATCTTGATACAAGGTTAACCTCCAACTCAGCTCCCTTGGATATATTTCAGAAATGTCCCACAATGTCCTGATCATGTTTTTGCTGCTGTTGTTTTGTTTATAATAGTTGTTTGTTTATTTGTTTAGTTTTTAACTCGAGGAGCCTATTGCTTACCAAACTATACACTACCATACACTAAAACATAGAAGGAACCTTCATTTTCTTTTCTTTCTGCCATCCATTGTAATGCCTGCTTCCTTAACTCTGCTGCTGACTTAGTGGAGACTCTTCCACTGTCCAAAAACTCAACTTTCTAATACCTCAGTTGTCATTCAGAAAAAGAAAAATATGGAAATATAAACTTCTTTCATACTCTACTTCAGTGACTCCGCAAACCAAGCTACTAAGACACTCCGCATCACTTCCATCTTTCTCCAAAGGTGTGAACTGACAGTCTGCTGCAACACAATACAGGTGATCCAAAATTGCTTGTCTCTTGACTCTGGTGGTATTGCTCACTCTTGATTTTACAGTCTTTGTTGTAGATTTATTTTTCAGGAGATGACTGGAAACTCCCAAGATTTATTGCAACACACTCTAGCAGTGCTACTTTCACAAACTTGTGCTACCATCTTTTCTCCATCGTCCTCATTTTTATACTTTGATACTTTCATTCTTAAAAATATTACTTTTATTTCTAGAGTGTGTATGGGGGTTTGCGTGTGTTTGTATGTGTCTATGTTCATGTGTGTACATCCATGCCATAGCATGCCTATGGAGGTGAGAGGGAAATTTTTTGAAGTCAAATCGTATGGACCTCAGAGGTTGAATTTAGGCCATCAGCTTTCCAGGTAAGACCCCCTTTCCCCTGAGCCATCTCTCTGGCTCTTTATCCTTAGTTTATACTAAAATTATAACCATTACTCTCTGAACTTTTCATGGTAATTGATTCTTTTCCATATATAACTCACAGTATTTACAAACCATGATCTTTTACTTATCTCATTAAATGAAGTAGAAGAAAATTGCTTAAAATATGGAAATCAAATTAGCATGGACCAACTCAAAGATTCTCTGAATCCCTGTAAGAATGTACCTTTGTAGCTCAATAACCAATTGGTTTCCCATAATAAGGGAAATAGGGACTATTTCTGACAGGAACTCAATGGCAGGCTCTTTAACCTTCCTACCCCCCAAGGGAGGAGCAGTCCTGCTAGGCCACAGAGGAGGACTTTGAAGTTAGTCTTGAAAATACTTGATAAAACAGGGTCAGATGAAAGGGGAGGAGGTCCTCCGCAATCAGTGAACTTGGAAAGGGGTAGGGAGGAGAGGAGGGAGGGAGGGTGGGATTGGGAGGGAATGAGGGAGCAGGATACAGCTGGGATACAGAGTTAATAAAATGTAACTAATAATAAAAAAAGAAAAAATGTACCTTTGTTTGACTTTTCTATTTGTT